AGCTCTAAGGCGTGAACAGAAATGCATACGTACATTGTATATTGCCCTTACGACTACCGAGACGATCCCTGTGCACGTATGCGAGCCATTAGCGCCAAAGCCGATTAACGACCCCCGCGCATAATTAACATCGTGTTAACATGACTGTCATCCATCCGTTTCGCCCACAAATATTGTGTGACGCCGTAAGATACTCACCTTCGGCAATGAAAGCTTGTCTGCTTTCGAAACGCCAGGGCAATACAACCATGGTTCCCGAGATCACCTCTTCTTCTCATTGCATAAATTGTATACTGCATATTGACACTAACCTCCCTGCTTCACCTCTGAAGAACTTTGGTCCGACAACAACTTATTATAGTTGCGTGCACTGGAGCCATTGAGGGAGGAAGGGGCGGAAATGCAGGAGGCGTCCGAATGCTGGGTGTGTTTTGCGTGAACGCATGCCCTGGAGGGCGCCCATAAGCGCCGTACACGCAGACGCAGTGTCAGTTGTTACAGTGCGTCAAAGGCGCAAAAAACGCTAACGAATATGAAGACAGAGGAATACGAATTACGCATTGAAGTGCTTCAGTTGGCCTACTGAAGTCCAGAAATGTGCGGTACGCAACCGCGGGGCGCATGGTCCAGAATATGCATAAAAACCGTTTGGAGTATGAGAAGGAAAACGAAGGATACTATGGTAACGATGGTGAGAATAGGAAAAGGAAGAAGAATAGAAAGATGAAAATAAGGGCCTATGGGGATAAGGCGAAGTTAATCAATACGGGGATTGAAGAAACCAATCTAAGTGCCTACTTCCAATCATGTGCGTGTACACTTTTTCGTACAAAGCTGCACATTTTATGAATTCACGGTAAAATACAGACGCTGGCATTTGCTGCAAAATGAGACCTTCGAAAACGGGAAGCGACCAGACGTTGCATTAGACTGGTCATTCACTGACATCTAGTTTGCGCAGTATGACCACAGTCATTCTTATGCACGTATCCTTCTTCGTCATTATAAGTAGTGTCTGGTTTGAGGCAAAAACGCCACGTTGGAGTAATGGGCTCCAAAGCGCAGCATCGGAATTCGAATGCAAACGGGGAGACTTCGACGAGCGATTGTCTCACAGGTGCGTATGCAGAGCACTGCGACGCCCAGCGGACCGGCCTTTCGATGTTCCTTTTTTTTACTTTCGAAAAGGATCCCCACTCATTAGTGCGGCGGATAAGACGACGCACCTGAATACTCATCTGACTATGTCCCAAGGTTCAACCTGACCGCTTCTTCATTTTCACTTTTCCCCTTCTCATGAATCGGTCATCTCTAGCCCCTCAAAGCTGCTCCCCTCATACCTATACAAGATGAGTAGCGTATCTATATTCCAGTGCATATTGTTACCAACCTCTTTCGTGCGTGACCTAGTCTACTGACCTTGTTCTAAATCGTTTTCGGTCTATGTGCGGAATACCGTGGTAACTCGATATTTTGCAAATTCAAAGGACTTTGTCCATTGGTGATAACTGCAAGAGTATATCCGCTCTCCAACACGCTTTTCCACAGCTACAAAGCTCTCAACTTGTGAACCCTGATGGCCCTCCTCTTGCACGACTGGCAGCGATAGAAGACTCGCTCCACGTGAATCGGATTTTAGATGGTCAAGTAATTAGTTACTGCTAGCGTCTTTAAGCATTTGTTTGTGTGTCCTCACTTTGTCTTATTCTGTAGCAACCTTCTGGAAACTAGCAATTGTCTCGCATTGCGATTGTTAGCCAAAAACCCTCAACCGGAAGTATCACCAGAAAACTGCGAAAGCAGCCTTGGAAACGTCCGAAAACTAGGAATAGATGTAACCCGGCACATTGGGACCCAGTAGAGCATTCCCGACTATGAAAGCCTCAGTTCGAAGTCGTAAGCTCATCGCAGGTAACTCAGACGGAGTGTGCCGATCGGAGCGATGCTGGTTAACGGCCCCGCTGCCGGGCGTTAGTGCGCAGTTCGACTTCTATGACTCAGGCATTCTGGGCCAGTTTCGTCTATCTGCTAACATGTTACTGATTTTTCCTCAGTTGGTCTGAGGCGTTTTTGTTTCAGAACATCAAAGCAACGATTCTGATCCAAACCTCCTGTCTTTCCTCCAGCACCTCATCTATAATCTTGGAGTTGCAGACCAGAGGCAACTATCAGACGCTAAGTAATGGGGCCAAAAGATCCACTGCCGCGGCAGGAAACGTCTGGAGTCGTTCACAGGATCTGGTGTAGTTGTGGGCAAAGCAACTATGTTGGAGGAACTAGGAGACTACTTGACACACGGATGGTAGAGCATGCAACAGCAGTGAGGGGGGAACAAGTCCGGCTTCCAGGTGACGACTGATTCGAGAAGGCGCGGCCACGCACTCAAGTTCGATGGGACCTAAATCCGCGCGAGGTGACAACCGCTTGGCCATCTTCTAGCCCACTAATCACCAAAAACTAGTTTCTGCCAACCACTGGAACGTAAAAAAGGACCTAAAGCTGAGATCAGATGAATCTCTGGTATCCTCCGATACTGTCTTACTCTGCGCCCCCGTAGTTTTATTATTGGCGGGCCTTGTGAGCGAGCTTTCGGCTGATAATCATGGCCAGGCAGGCCCTTGGCGTTCGGACACCCTCATTACTTATATCAACTTGAAATCGGCTACACCCTTGACGAACTGGCGTATGAACGGATGAAAGGCACGCCTACGGGCTGCTCCTATCGGGTCTGACTACTGAAGTGGCCCATCAGCAGGCAGAACACGAAGTATTGGCCAGATATCAACCGAAGTTCTGGGTTCGTTATATCGTCAACGCTGTCATCATCCTCAAGTGCGCACTGCAAACATCAAATAATTACCTATCTCGGTTGACCAAAATATCGGATTCACAGCAGGAGCGGGAACAAGTGTCCCCTTTTCCTTCCCCGAATCCCGGACGGTCATTTCAACAACAATGGTGCTCCTCAGACCGTCTCACAACCGGTACACTCGAGTAAGCATGATCCATAGACATTGGGACCAAATTCGTCGCCGTGATGCAGCATAAGGACATGCCCACCGAAACCTCGGCCGTCGTCCACAACAATACGCGCAATAACAGAGGCCAAGAATTTGTTGGTGAAGCGGTCGCAGGTTGCATATCCGTCCACGAGAGCAGAGATTAGCAACTCGGTAGCTAGATCCCAGTCCTGCCTGACAAAGCACACCAAAAACCGACCATACTTGAAACTCAAGGAGTTACCATCCCGGGCCAGGGAGTTCAAAAGATAATATGACTCATACCAGGGGTAATGTTTTCAGACGCCAATCCACCAATAAGATCGCTGACCTCTCTTTGGTTTACAAAGATCCCACGTCGATACCTAAATAGGGAACATGACAGGATGGACACAGCAAACTAAATATTCTAACTGCCTGACGAGCCCGCCCGCCGGAGCGATGACAACGCAGGCAGCTCCTAACTGCCGGACATTCCCCAGCCGGGCAGCAAACTAGGAAGGTAAATCAACTCAAGGTTTACTGGCTCGGCAAGCTGTCTAAATTTCTGTCCGATGTTGTAGATAAAAGGCTCGGACAATGGAGAGCAAACCGCCTCGCAAAAAGGTGGCCCTGGTATTCATAATTCCGACAACTCGGGAGGTTGTCTGTCCAAATGCCAAGAACGAGTGTCCACCTCGCACATGGCAATGAATGAACATGATTGTTAAAGATGCAAATATACTCTGAAAGGCCGGCCCACCTATGAATTCCCCTTTAACAGATTCGGCAGCACAAGAAGTAACTGACGCGGGGAAAATCATCCGATACAAAGCGAATGTAATATAGTAGGCCTGTAGACGAAACCCAGGTACATACAGCGTGCGCAATCGCATCAATTGCAGTTTACTACCTTGCCTGTCAATTAGAAAAATGGGCATTTTTTAGCTCTCAACCACATGGCAACAGTGGTGCATCGACTTGCTTGACATAGGACATTAGAGAAAGATCAAATTAGCGTAGAACCTCGTGAATACCGCCCTCCAGGTAGGCGGGAGAGCACACCATTCTCCTCATCTTTACGTAACGCAGGATTACAACCACCCATAAAAGGGTAAAAAAATTACACAGACAATCAACTTCTGTTTGAAATGAATATACTCCATTAATCAAACCACAGACTAAAGTAAATACAAAAGGAAACGCAAATTGCTGTGACATTTCGCTCGGATGTAAACAATGCCCGTAAATAGGACTGGCAGTATGAGCACAAGTATACATCCGCGAATGCGAAAAATAAAGAATATCCACTCAAATAATTAAAGTAAAGGAACATGGAGGACAAAGGTTGTAGAGAACGATAAAATGGAAGCAGGGATGGAAGCAGAGCAGAGCACAGACACAAACCACCCAACTGACAAGTAAAAATAGTGTCGTCGCATAGACAAAAACTGCAGGTCAGTGATAATAGAGACTGTAAGCATGAAAGATCTTCGGCAGGATAAAGAGAGTGCCGAGGCTCATTATGGAAGCGGTACTAATGCACATGCCTCAGCCTGGGTGGGCAACAGAGCAGCAAGAGACTTTCTGGCAGAGGTGAACAAGATTCCAGACTGTCAGCCAGATCTCCTTGACTGGGGGTGGGGAAGTTGGGACTGGATAAGACGCACATAAAAAGATCGATGAGACAAGGGAATCGTTGCGGCGGATAAACACAGATAAGAGTGTGGGCGGGGTGTCTTCCGTCGCTGTCGTGGTCATGTTGGGCTTAAAATCGGAACATCACAGACGACAGTTATGTTAGATTTTGGTCGTGAGATTGCTAGCAACGACAGATGGCGCTGTCATTTTTAGCTTTTATCTCGAAGACAGAGGTATAAAGTAAAATAATCACATATATATACATATATATGCGTGTGTATGAGAGAGTAGTGCAAGCAAAATACGATTCGTAGGTGGCGACCGTTTTTGTTGACGAGGCAGTGGCAGCTGCCGCTTCCCCTCCGTCCGACTACACATCAACTACCATCTTTTTGTGAACGTCGAGGCCACTGACAACCTGACAAAATTCTTTGAACGAGATTTTACCATCTCCATCTTGGTCGGCGAACATGATCGTCTTGTCCACAATTTGCTGTAATTGGGCATCCTTCAGGTTATTGCCAACCATCATCTTCAAAACCTGAAGAGGACAAAAACCTCTCTTAACAGAGTTGTCGACAAGGACAGATTTAGAAATTATTATAAAGCAGGACATGAAGCAGCCTAGAGGAGGTATTCGGGAAAAAACTACTGCGTCGGTGCATTGTCCCAAAGAGGTATTATATTAAACAAGATAAACGACTACATAAATTAAGGTTTGTTTTTAGGAAAGAAAACTTGAATACTTAAGTGTCACCGGAATTGATTTTACTTGATTTTTCGACACCTAACAAAATCATACCATCGTTAATAATGCAGCAAGTCCACACCAGTGTCCAGGTACTTTTTGCCGATACAATGTTTGAACTTGGAATTACGTCGTCTGTAACCAGTACTACCGGCGTAGCATCACGAGACACTACATTTCATGATCTTCAAGTGGAGTCTTAACTTCCAGGCACTATTGCCCGCTTGAATTTCCGTTTCCGACCACTAACGACTATCGGTCCGTCCAGATGACGGTTTCTCTCTCTTTCTCTTTATCTCTCTTGGAAAACAGATTCGAAACCAATAGAAATTTCGACGACTAGGTAGGGCATTGTAGTGCGATGGACGGCATGCTTAAGAAAAGGCATAGAATTTTAAAAGTGGACAGTTGCCTGTAGGTAGTTTATCTTCACGTTTCCAAGAAAGCTACTGAGCAAGGAAAAGTGCATCGGGTCTGTTTCCTGCAGCCCAGGAATTAGCAAAGGTTCTTGGACCTGTTATATGCACCGTCTTCTCCAGGCAAGTTCACGTGTATGCTCACTCATCTTCTTCTGCAAGTATGGGCTTCCCAACTCTGTGAATGGATGGGATAGCTCAGCCCAAAAAATTTTTTTCAGAAAATTAATTTGGGCTTCAAGGTCACGGGGGTTCAACAACAAATTCAATGGAGTAGCCTAGAACTAGCTACATAAATCCCGCTGGAGCAGAACGTTCAGCAAAGTGAGTTGTTATCAGTCTTCCAAGTCCTCCTAACATTGCAAGGATAATCAAAATAGGATAAATGCTTGTATTAAACGTGGCGTGACTCGAAAGAGCAGGCACCTGAGCTATTGCCATAAATAAGGAAGATCGACTGGGGATGACTAACAGAGATATCGGGCCATGACAACGACCACGGGAAAGGCCTCAAACGTTCGTGACCCTAGAAGTCTACTCAGTTATTCGCAGTTAGTAGTAAGCCGTCGGTACTTGGTGACTCTTTGCATGACGTTAATGGCGGCCTTATCGCTGACAACTCGGTTAGGGTTGATCTTTAGAGTGAACACTTCGAGCACGTTCTCAACTTTGATAAGCGAACCATCACACGCATGCTCACCGCAACGGCGGAATTGTATGCCCATTTAGGCTATGCCTCCAAGAATGGCGATCAGAAAAAGTGCCAGAAATACTGAGGCATAAGCCTCATCGGCGTTGCTGAGAAGGTCTTCACTGCTGACCTCAGACCATTCCAGTCTCTGCGTGGTTCTAGGACTAAGTTTAACCAAGCAGGATTCCGAGTTGCGCGTGAATGCGCAGACCGGATATTCACACTGAGGTGCATTCTGGAATTCCACTATGGCTACCAGCAACCGAAGTTAGTCTGCCTTGTAGACTTCACCACTGCGTTCGATCCCGTCCATCGCGAGTTCCTGTGGCAGATAAGGGAATTATATGATGCTACGACCAAAATCGTCATGGTTAGGGCTTACCAGCGCTTCACCACTGCTGGGGTTCTTGTCCACAACAACCTCTCCCAACTGTTCGATAACGCATCTGGTATTCTATAAGGTCGTATCCTATCGCCTATTTTGTTAAGCTACGTCACTGACTGGACTCAGAATGGTTCCACAGAATTTTGACAGTGTGAATATCGCACCCGGGCGTCCGCTGGCTAATCTAAACTACGTTGACGATGCCGTCTTACTTGTCTCAAAGTGTGGTGATTTACGGTTTGTGGTGTGACCTATGAGTGAAATCGCTATTTCAGTCGGTTTATCCATAAAAGGTGGGAAATCCAGATTGTTTACGAACTGCATACGCGATCAGAAGGCATCCTAGTCAACTTGACGAAGTGGACAGTTTAAAATAACTCGGGACGAGGCTACTGTCTAATGGGAAGAGTGAGGACATCGCCCGAATCTACGCTGATAGAAGAGTTTTCTCAACCATTCAAATGTGCCCATGGACACAAGACGACATCTCCGGTCAGTCCTCGTATAAGATTGTGAATGCCGAGCTTTGTGCGCGAAATATTAGCGAAGACTGGAGGTATTCGTTCACAGCCACCTAAGAACCATCCTTCGAGTGAAGTACACCGACTTCGTCTCAAATGAGACGTCTCACACTCGCTACGACAATGCCACGGAAATATCTCAGGCCATCCAAGAAAGGCCACTGAGATGGGTTGGGCAAGCACTCCGTCGTCCAACTCACGAGCCCTAGACCCGGCGTCGTCGCCGACCTGGAGGCGTCGAAGGGGTGGGCGACTCAATACCTGGCTCGACGAAGTTCGTCAGCGGATGTAAGTAGTTATTAAACTTCAAATATTCGGTCGCCGTCGCTGAAAAAAAGAACGACACGAGCTTTCCAAGTCGGCTGCCGTAAATCGTCACGCGTGGAGACGTACAAAACGTGATATAATCGAGGACAGAAGGAACATGCCTGATGACAGCCGCACTAGATGCGAATACAGGTACTATGGGGTTAGTGACATGGATGAAAAAACTTTATACGATCGGGCAGCTGGGATGATGGCAGGTTTGTTTATGAATGCTAGGAAATAAAGGCAAATAGGGCAACTGCCTGAAACTTTCAAGAATAGTTATTCTGATGGTCCAAACACTAGGGTTTGAGGCAAACCTAATACATCAAAAAGGATTGTTACGTCCCATCTAAAATACCAGTTTCATACAGTCAACTGTCCTTCTGAGGATAAGACAGACCAGCAATAAAAGGTGCTAAAGACTAAAGTGGTTACGGAGGCTGGGAGAAGCTAGTGGGAGTGCCTAGTAAGTTAAATTACACACGATGCGCTATATTAGTGAAGCGAAAAACTTGAAAATGACTTGCGGAAAAAATTGACAAAAAACCTTCGGACTGACCTGAAATAGTTCACCGTTGCTTATAAAACCATCATCGTCCATATCGTAAATTTTGAAAGCAAAGTTTAACTTTGCCTCTTTGTTCCCCTTCACGCTGAACTGAGACATCCCCTCGATGAATTCTTTGAAATCTACTTCGCCGTTCCCATCTGTGTCGAAAATGTCTATAACCCTCGATACTAGAGGATTTTGCTGCAGTTCGGGCAAACTCATGAATTCTTCAACACTGAGCGACCCCGATCCATCAAGATCGAGTTTTTTGAAACGTTTCCCGAGTCTTTTTATTTCCTCAACATCAAAGGTGGAACACAATTCGGGGAGTGAGGCTTCGTTGCCCATTTCACTAAAAAACCAAAAGGGATCGCAAGCGCAAAGGCGGGAAAGACGGAAACGAAATTGCCGCGTTAAATCGAAATAAAGTAGCAACAATAGATCAGTTACCCAAGTGTTGTTCAGTTGGCCAGAGAGTAAAGGTATTATTTCATCCAAAAATAAAATATTACCTAATGTTTCACTGTTCATTTGTAAAATGCATAACGTACTGAAGTGTCTAGGAACAATGTTTAAATGAGCTAGTCAATAAGGGCATGTAGCACACGTTCAGCGCGCAGCGACTTTGGACGTGTGGAAAATGACAAATATAAATTGGAGTCATATTAATGAATGGTGTGATAACGGTGAAATGCAAGTACATAAATAACGAAAGCAGAAATTGCATCAAAAATCCGCTGGCAAGTGATCAGACGTAAGTAACGACAGAGACCGAAATTTCAGTCAACGAATTGACATGTACTACAACCGTGGTATCCCTGCTGGCACCAGCCCCGTTCGGCCCCGTCAAGTCCCCAGGGCCAGAGGGTGCTAGGCCGCGTATAGGCGGGGCTACGCACGTGGTTATGGCGGAGCTGGGTACGCGATAGTCCCTTATTGCCCCGTCCTCAAAAAAAACTCGCAGAAGGACGCCATCCCATCCGTGATATTAACCCCAATTTTACGGTACCGATCAACTAACTCAGCGGTTGGAAGACCTGTCAAATGCAGATAAAAGCGCCTTCGTATTAAATTGATGGTGCCAACTACGAAACGCCGTTCGCACGACCGCTCTGGCTGTCCACGGCTGCGCACGTCGCCAGCATCTGGACTGGCTCGACGAAAATGTTCAGTTCATCAGTAACCTGCCCGCCGAGAAGAACGGGCCGCGCAGACTCTACCTCAATCGTCCGGCCGCTGCGAATAAAGCGGCTTTCTGCCAATGTCGCCGCTTTGCGCTGCAACGGTTGCGCGAAATATAGGACGCCTGGACGACTCGCCAAACCGAGGAGACCCAGAGGTGCGCCGACCCCAATAAATAAAACAGCTTCTTTGCAAAGATCAAGGCGATCTGTAGCCCTCAACCAAAGGAATCGTGCCGCTTCTGAGCTCCCATGGATTAACGCTTCTGACGCAGATGTTGCGAACTCTAAAGAAGTGTGCCAAATACTTCGAAAACATCCTCAACCGTCCCTTTGCATTTACCGACGCAGCCATCGACCGGTTCCCCTAAGAAGGAATCATCGTCGACCTAGTCCTCCCGAGTTCATCCTAGCAATCATCCGTGCCGTACAACAACTCTCCAACGAAAAAGCACCAGGCACCAACTGGAATCTACAAGCATGGCGGCCACCGACCGATGGACCAACTCACTAGGCTATTTCAGGAGAAGTGGAGCTGTGAACAAGTTCCTCAGGATTTCAAGGACACAACCATCGTCAATCCGAATAAGCGCTTCGGGAACCCGCATTTCTGGGACAATCGGAGGGACATCTTGCTACTAAACATCGACGGGAAGATCTTTGCCTGCATACTGCTTCATCGCCTTAACGACTTCTGCCAGAATGCCAGTGTGGCTTCCGACGACACCACCGGATCACCGACATGGCTTTCGCCGCTCGCCAGTTAGAGGAGGAGTGCTAGGATGTGCGAGCGCACCTCCGCACTATCTCTGTGGACTTAACGAAAGCCTTCGATACGGTAAATCGCAGTAAGCTGTGGAGAATAATTTAGAAGTTCGGTTGTGCTGAACAATTCAAACACTAAACTGAACTGAACTGAATATTTTCTGTCAGCTCCGCAACTTGACGGCGCCAGTGACGGACAGTGGTGCAACCTCCAAGACATTTACACTGGCCACTTTAACGAAGCAGGACTGCGTTCTCGCGGCTACCTTCTTTAGTCTCACGTTCTCTCAAATGCTGATCGACGCCTACCGTGATGAGCGCCCAAGGACGCGCATCGTCAACAGAACTGACGAGTATTTTCTCAACCACAGGCGCATGAATGTTCCTGTGCAACTATCTACAACCGCGGTCCACGATCTGTTCTTCGCCGACGACTGCGCGCTCAACACGACCGAAGTGGACATGCGACAGAACGGGGACCACCTTGATGCCGGGTGCGCCAACTTCGGCCTGACCATCAACACAGACAAACGGTGGTCATTCACAAACCGTCGCCAAACACGTAACACTACACTTCTACTCAAATCACCGTCAACGGCAACGAAATCAAAACCGTGAACAATTTTGTTATCTTAAAATCATACTTTCCAACAGCACCAGAATCTACGATGCCCACCAGGTCTCCAAATTAAGGTGAGCCTTTAACCGGCTGCAGAACTCCTTGTGGAATCGTCTCGGCATCTAACTGAATATTCAATTCAATTCAATTCAATTATTTTTATTAAAGACCCGTCGGGGTCCCATCAAAGCAAGTAAAAATACATTTACATGCAAATTTTAGACGATGTAGGCAAAATCTGCACAAAGTGCAATGCATAGTTTTTGAGATTAGAAGTCCGTTAAGCAAGACTGTCGTTCTGACGACATTCCTCTACGCAGCGGAGACCGTCCACTCTAACCATGCCAAGAAATTCAATCAGTTGCATCTCATCTGCCTTCGCAGAATACTAAATCGGAGTTGGCAACACGGGATTCACGACACAGACGTCCTACAGACCGGAATAATCAGCAATTACGCCATGTTAAGGCAACTGCAGCGGAGCTGTCATCTCGTGAGGATTGAAGACACACGTCACCGAAACAACTTTCTTTGATGTCGCCACGGGTACCCGTCGACAAGGAGGAACAAAATGGCCCTAAAAGTATACTTTAAAAGACTCTTTGAAACTGCTGCAGATCAACCCGGGAACAAAGGACGACCTCGCTTAGAACAGACCGACATGGCAAAGAGAAGTGAAGACCGGCTTAGCCATCTACGAAGCAATCCCGATCACGGCCACCAAAGCCAAACAGGAGGTTTGCAAGATACAAGTATCTGGCCTCGTCACTACCGGTCGTCAACCGCTGCCAATATGCCTACGTTGCTAACGCGCATGCCGCGCGGGAATTTGTCCCGTGGAACACGTTCACATCCACTACGTCAACAACTCCACGTCGACCATCACTCCCGTCACCGCCGATCACACCATCGCTATCCCGTCCCCACCAACCGCTGACACCATCCGCCCTGCCTTAAGCCGTGTCGAACACAGCGACCAGCTCCACTACTACCACCGTCACCACTACAACGACAACACGCACTCCACGCACTTCCCAATGAGGTATCTTCTTTCTGGTACCTAGGTGTTACTTTATCCTCAAATCTCTCTTTCTCTCTTCATATGGAAACCCTTTTAACAAAAATTCAAAAACTTGTTTATTACATTCGTCGTCTACGTTCATATCACACACCCCAGTCCTTAATCTGCCGATTCATAGATGGCTGTATTCTTCCACTCATTCTTTATTGTTCTCCAGTTATTTTTCCAGCTTTACTTAAAGAAGATCTAATTATTTTTGAACGTGTCATTCGAATGCTCGCCTCTGCTGCTGGTGTTTCCTATCATCTTTTAGTTGATATCATCGTGCAGCGACACTTCAACTCGGTGGAGCAATTCGCTGACCGAATTCTGAATGACACCGTCCATCCCCTTCATAATGAGTTAATGGCTGCGAAATCCTTACGCCTCATGCGTCGATGCTTCCGCCACATCCCTTGCCGCACTTCGGCCTATCGGAATTCCATACTGCCATTTCTAGCCCGGTATCTCACCTACAAAGATGTTGAAAAACAAAAACAAAAACTCGATCTTGGACCTTAAAGTCCTTTTTTCTTCATATATAATCATGTCCACCTGTCTGTTCAAAACCTGTTAATCTCTATGGTAATCACTGTGTACTGGAGAACCGTTTTTGCTGAAAGTTTTGAAAGTTATTTTCAAAATAAAGCAGTCCTCTCTCTCTCTTACCCCCACCCCCACCAATGGGGTTACGTCCGATGTCCCATTGTCGTCTGCCATCACCACCGATACCCCCACCTCCAGCGATGTTGACTACTGAAACCTGTCCTCATTGCAATCACACATTCCACTCCCACGTCGACCTTGTCGGTTACTTGCGTATCCATTTCACGGAGACTATTGAATCGCTGCCTAGAGCACCAACCCACAGTCGACGCATCCACCTCAACCGCCATAACTGCTCCCGCATATTCAGACACTGCATGGGCCTATTAGGCCACATTCAAGAAAACACGTGGAAGGCCACCGCCGGCTATGCCACACCACTGCACATTCCCCCATCAGCACCTGCACTACAAAACTGCATCATCCATCAACACACAGCGCAAGCACTCAACTGCCATTTCGCACTCAACTGGGTAATGTACTCCTCGGCTCCGTCTCTATGTGGCCCCTCCGCTGTATGTGTGATCCGAATCTGAGACTGTCACGGTGCTATCTTATCCTTCTGGGTCTTAAGGTTTGTGAGCGTCTGATTTGCCATTATTTAGCAAACCATAACTCTCTCAGCCTGGTGTGCGTTGACAGTTATTTGACACCTGGTTTCATGCCGCAGATATGCTTGCGCACCTGCTAAGTACCCAGGTCGTGCACATGGTTGCCCGGTCATCCACATTTTTCTGATCCGTTGCCATGCTGTTGTTGATTAAAATCCTGGTCAAGTGTCTGTTGTGGACCAGGGGTGTGGTGCACCGCCCAAGGGCGGGTCCGTCCGTACACACTGCACACTCTCCCTCCTCCAGTCTTTTTGACGTTGTCGTGATACCGGGCCTATATGGGGAGTAGAGAGCGGTAGATGCCGCGCAAGTCAACTCTCACTACGAACTAGTTCACATGCAAGTCACCGTGCATGCTTCGACTTGCTGTGGGATTGTAATAATGATAATAATTTTGCATAATTTCGTAATATTTCAGTCGCAGCAGGCTGCTGGCTTTTAGACGCACTTTTTCGGTCGCCTACAAAAATCACACTCCGTAAAAAGTGTCCAGGTATTTCGTGTGATTTGTCCCAATTGGTTTTTGATGCCCTTAAGAATTTAAGAATACTGTATGGAAATCACGTATAAAAGTATTCTTTTTACTCATTTGGCAACAAATCGAGCCTTTTCCAGATTTAATACTCGGAAAAAGCGTATCCCCGGTTTTCAAAAAAAAGTCGGTGGAGAAAGTGCAACAAAATAAATAGTCATTTTTAAATAAGTGCAGTTTTTGTGGACGGCCGAGGACAAGTCTACTCGGAATTCAACACCCTGAAGTGTCTGAAGTATCCTGGCATTAGGTCGAAAAAAGTCAATATTACAGTTCGACTTAAGTAATCCTTCCTAATCGATAACACATTTCGGAATTTTGCTTAGCGTCTCCTGGGATCTACCACCGACTGTATATATACAGTACATGGCCTAACCCATGAAGCGTAATGACAGAATCTCATATGAGAAGTTTTGGACGTCTTAAACGTTGAGCATTTTACTCACGTGTCAAGCCCCTTCAAGTAAATGTCCTTTTCTTGTGCAGGAAATGCGTCTACGCAATTTCATCAAGCAAAATGTTCATGAATTTGGGCAAAAGCGAACGTTGCAATATATTCCGGCAGTTTTCTATGCTGATAACTGTCCTGGGCCCGAATCGTATGTATGTGCGTGTTTGTCTTTGGTAAGAACATAACATGGCCTCGAGAGTCCAAATAAATGGACCTTGCCGCATTTAAAAATTGATTTTTGTCTCGTGCTATGCGTGGGAACTAGTTTGTTAACACAGGTTATTTTAAAAGAACCAGACAGTTTATTTATTTTTGGAAGTCAGGTTAGCAAATCTGTGCGATTTCGTACCCGAAAGTGCATTAATGACGCACGCAGACAATCCCTCAGTTAAATGGGCCGAAATTGTTGTGCCATTTAGAACATATTATGCCTTGACACAAAAGCGACTCTCACTGAATAGTCATTTTCAGGTTTGTACATATGAAACGTTATTCTCCACACGATCTAGTTGCTGCACATACGTGATTTAGAGATGGAACGAGCAAGGCATTAACAGTTTTACCATCAATATGGCTGCTCTGCCGGCATTTATAATCGTAGAACAGAGCCTCCGGGCGGAAAAAGATAGTTAGAATAGCAGCAATAGAAAAAGAATGCATGTTCCTCCATTTGTGAAAGAAATACGTTAGCATTCTTAGTGGCTTGAAAAAAAAACAGCCAAAAGTGTCGAAGATTTTCTTGGCATCACCCAGGAAAAATATAAAGCAGACAGATATCCGCCAACAGAATACGTTATTAAGGCACTACTTAAAAAGGCAACTTAGTAGACAATGTTTACTGACTGATCGAAAGCATATTCCGTGTTGATGTTTGTTGTGGAGGCATATTTTTTCGACAATGAGGTTTCGTTTTTCGGCGAGTATTCATTTGCAGTTTAAACGACTTACGTGAAAAAGAACGCGCAGACATATATATTACCGACAAAGACAAGGGAGACTGGAATGGCCATTTCTGGCTTATTAGCCGTCGTCAGCCAGCCATACCCAAGCCCGAAATGTGGAACACCCGAGCCTCGAACTCGCGACCTGTTGGTTTAGAAGTCCACGCCTCTACCCACCGGGCCACGAGCCCGTTGCCCTGTCGGTTTTCGATCGGGAATATACAATGTTAGGGGGCGCTCACCGATCGTTCATACGGAAGTAACTCGTTCCGTTTTGCTTCAAGGGCTCTCTCTCGAGCCTAACCAGCAGCCGCACGGCGGCGCATGATATATAGGCAGAATGGTACTACCGACAAAGACAAGGGAGACTGGAATGGCCATTTCTGGCTTATTAGCCGTCGTCAGCCAGCCATACCCAAGCCCGAAATGTAGAACACCCGAGCCTCGAACCCGCGACCTGTTGGTTTAGAAGTCCACGCCTCTATCCACAGGGCCACGAGCCCTATATATCATGCGCCGCTGTGCGGCTGTTGGTTGGGCTCGAGATAGAACCCTTAAGGTACAACGGAACGAGTGAATTCCGTATGAACGATCTGTGATCGCCCCCTTCCACTACCACGGGCCCGTGGCTCAATGGTAGAGCGTCAAACTCCCTGACCAAAGATCCCGGGTTCGAATCTCAAGTGATCCACACTTGGGGTTGGGTGTGACTGGCTGATGACGGCTAATAAGCCAGAAATGGCCATTCTGGTCTCCCTTGTCTTTGTCGGCTCCATCTCATATATATATATATTTCTGGAAGAAGGTAAAGAGATCTCTGGGGAGGATGATTTATTCATCTGACGTTTCACACTCATACTTGAGCGCATCATCGGAGATAGATTAAAAGTGGGAATACAAGGTTTAAATAGGTCTTTCTTACTCACTACTGATAGATCCACTGTTCTCTCTTCCCATTAGTCCTCCCTTCCTGCTCAAGTGGTGTCTGACGGCCTCATATGGCGCCGGTAGGTCGATCCTACGGTTGATCGAGTTGGCGTTGGATTTCCAGGCTTCGAAATCATCCTCCTCAGAGATCTCTTTGCCTCCTTCCATATCGACACCTGGGGTCGGCATTTTCGCCTATATCCATCATAATACCGGACGCGAAGCGCTTCGCCGAGCACGGCGCTGGGAAACATATTCCTGTTGACAGGGATCTACATATGAACAATTGGCTTTCCTACACAACTGTTTGAGGTCCGACATTATGCCAAGGAGTGTTTCTGTAAGACCACCAGCTAGGACTGACTTCGGTCGAGCGGTCGCCAGGAGCTGCGGCCGACGCCTTCTAAGAACTCTCATCAACGAGTGTCACATTCGCCTGGGAAAGTACAGCAGGGAAATCGAAAGGGAAAAGACAGCATGTGCATCATACCTCGAGATGGAACCCTTAAAAAACTTGCAGAGCTGGATCTCGAGTAAGGTGAACAGCGAGCGAGAGAAGAAGAGGGCCCAACTCCTGAACAAAATGAGTAGTCTAAAGGAAGCACAAGCCACACTACCTGAGCCATCCTCCGTCAACAACCTGTCATCCAAACAGCTGACAGACGACCAGATTAAAGTGCTTCAGCACGAATCAGGCCACAACAGAGGGGACGCACACCCAGTGGATTTTACCGCTGCTTTTGAAGCGACACTCTCAAAGACGAAGGCCACAGAGGGCACCAAGTAACCTTCTGGAGAGGAGGTACGATGAAGAGGAAAGACCTCTGAAAAGGAAGCACATAATGGAGCTACTGGACTACTGTTTGAGCACGTACTTTACGTTTAATGGCCAGGTGTACGAGCAAATCCAGGGAACTCCGATGGGATCACCAATCTCCGGCTACCTGGCTGAGGCGGTTCTACAAGAACTGGAAACACGGGTCTTTCAGTCCTACATGCCAAAATTCTGGATGCGCTATGTTTCAGTTTCGGTTTCAGTTTATTAAGGGAAACATAGGCGAGCGCCTTTGAACTCCCTATTGGTTACAAGTCGTCGGAGAAAAACACTGATAGTGGGAAGGCGAAAAAAGGGTTTTGTACATAATCGTTGACAGATAGTACGAAAAAAGTAATAAATAACGGTTACTAACTAGTTACAGGTAATATAAACAAGTTTAAGTTGGTGCCGGGTTATGTGAGTGGATGTAAGGCTGGTAACTGGGAGGCTTGATGCGCGTCAAATCTAAACTTAAAGGACTTCACACAGGAGGAGGTTGCAACATCGGTGGGCAGGGCATTCCACGCTGCAACCACTCTGTGACTGAAAAAGAACTTTCTTCCATTGATCCTTGCTTTCCCGGCGCGTAGTCTTAGAGGATGACCGCGCAAATTGGGCGTGTTAGCTTGTGTGAAATAATCAGTGGGATCTAAACAATAGTCTAGGCCGTTGATAATGCGAAATGCAAGTATAAGGTCACCACGTAATTGCCTATAGGAAAGTGGAAACAGGTTGAGAGTTGACAGTCGAGATTCGTAAGACAGCGCTCCCAGACCTTGTGTCATTTTGGTCGCCCGTCTCTGGACCTTCTCCAAAACGGTATAGTCCTTGGCAGTCCAAGGTGTCCAGGCCTGTATGGCGTATTCTAGATGAGGCCTCACGTAGGTGCCAAATATTTTTGAAAAGCTGTCTGGATCAAATTCCATAAATGCTCGCTTAATGAGTTGCAGTGTAGCCATAGCCGATTTGGCCGCCTTCGCGCAGTGCAGTGTTGGTTTGAGTGAAGATGTAATCCATACACCCAAGTCCTTCTGACTGTCAACCTGTTGCAGTGGTGTGCCCTCTAGGAAGTAAGTCCTGGGGCTGGAGGCTCTGAAGCCGCCTAGTTATAGAAAGTTGCACATACTTATATTGAAGGGCATAAGCCAGCGCTTCGACCAGTCTTCGAGCCTGTTTAGGTTTGCTTGCAGGTGGTCTGCGTCTGCCGCATTGTGAATAACTTTCCACAATTGAATGTCGTCGGCAAACAGGATGGTATCACAGTCTAAGTCCTTGACGCAGTCATATTTGAAAACGAGGAATAACGTGGGACCTAGGACTGAGCCCTGTGGGACGCCACTCACCACGCTTACCTCTGAGGACTGTTGACGCCTGACCTGCACTCTTTGGGACCGTCCAGCCAAAAAGCTCTGGATCCATACAAGAAGACGTCCACGAATTCCAGCGTTGCGCAGTTTGTGCAAGAGACGTTGGTGGGGAACGCTGTCGAAGGCTTTTTTGAAATCGATGTAGATGGCGTGCACCACACTACATTCATCGCGTGCTTTGGTCCAGCGTTCGAGCGTAAAGAGCAGATTCGTGAGGCAGGACCTACCACTTCGAAAGCCGTGGTGTGCATCAGAGAGGAGGTGGTGCTGCTCGAGGAGCTGCATCAAGGCCTTCTTAATGATCTTCTCCATGATTTTGCAACAGATGGAGGTAAGACTCACTGGCCTGTAGTTATTCGCAGACGCACGACTTCCGCTCTTAAAAAGCGGAGTGATGGTAGCGGACTTCCAGTCAGAGGGCAGGCATCCAGTAAGAAATGATGTTTGGAAGATCATGGCTAAAAGCTTGGACATTTCGGGAGCTAGCTCCTTCAGCAGCTTGGCGGGCATTGCATCAGGGCCTGGGAAGGTGGATTCTTTCAGATTAAGTAACTCGTTCTGAACAATTGCTTCGGTGAAGAATACGGCTTCAAGGGTAGGCTTTTCTTCGTCTTCACAAATGGGGGAGAGAAAATCAGGTTCACTTGTCACGACGGATCGGAAAAACTGAGAGAGGTTTTCAGCCTTATCCATGTCATCGGAGATTTCCATTCCCTCGGCTGTTCGCAGCAGTGAGATGGGGTCTTTGTTCCGCGTGCTCTGTCTTATGTAGGTGTAGAGGACTTTGGGATTAACCCCGGCACGGTTCAGAAGATCCTTTTCAAAGGCTTTCCGATCTCTAGCGATGAGAACTTTGACCCGATTTCTCTGTGACTTATAACTGCATATGGATTCTGGCGTCCGGTCAGCCAGGGATCTTTTCCACAGCTTCCTCTTCTTGTTAACCTCCTTCTTTAAGGACGGAGTCAGCCAGCGGGGTCTATTTGTTAGTCTTCTGCGCATGATTGGGCAATGGTTGGAGATGAGGTTGTGGACTAACTCTTTGAACTTACACCAAACCTCTTCGACATCGCCGTATAGAGTGGATGCCCAGTCGATAGGACTTAGCTCCCTTCTCATCTGTTCGAAATCTCCGCGCCAAATATTGGGTCGGGTATCGAGCGGTTGTGCAGGCAGGGAGAATAAGGTGTATTCCCACATGAGAACTACATGGTCACTGACCCAACGGGGGGAGGAAATTCACAACGTCGATATTGTCAGAGGACTTGGTGAACACCAGATCAAGGCAATTCATTTGCTGGCCCTCTCGAACTCTCGTTGGAAACATTACGTGTTGGGTTAGAAGCAGATTGTCGGAGGTGCGCAGTAACTGCTGGTCGAATGCTGCTTCAGAGCAGTCGGCTGAGGCCGACCTCCAGTTTATGTGAGGTGCATTAAAATCTCCAACGATGAGAGTAGTCGGTCGCGTTGAAAATAGCCTAAGCTCCTCCAGCAGTTGGGCATCAGCGTCAGGGTCATTTCTCGGGGGGCGATATACTGTCAAGATATCGAGGCTTTGAGAGCCCGGTGCCCTTATAGTCAGGCACAACGCTTCCGTACTGCAAGTCAATTGGGCACTTTTTTCTAAAACGTATAAGCCATTTTTAACAAATGTTACTATGCCTCCACCCCTCCTGTTTTGTCTGTCTTTGCGGAACAGCTGAAATCCAGGTAGCATGAGTTCTCTGTCATCAATCTGTTCGGAAAGCCATGTTTCTGTTATTGAGATAACGTCTGGGTGGAGGTCATGGGTAAGGATACGAAGTTCATCCAGTTTAGAAAGTACACTTTGCGCGTTGGTATACATGAATATGAGTTTCGAGTTCATGCGAGATTTGTTTTCAACCCCGACACGGGTCACTGGGGTAGCTGTGCGGTCATTCGGATCGGCTTGATCCAGAGGGGAGCGGAATGTCGTTTGACTATCCGGTCGTTGTAGATTGTCAAGTCTTTTTCTCCGTTGGTTTGTCGCGTTCTCAATTCTAGGACAAGTTCGCGGCGTTTCATTCTCTCGGTAGGTGAGTAGTCCGGCTGAAAAAACACTCCTTTATGGGAATGTTTCAGTCGAAAACGTCTGGAAAGGATTAGATTCGCCTGCTCATTGCTACCTAGGACAAGTTTCAGGGGTCTTGGTCGTGTCTGTGGAGCGGCGGTTGTACGGCTACCAAGACGAAACGCCTTTAGGACTGTGACATCTTCTGTTGGTTGCAGCATTTCATTTAGGAGTTTCTGGAATTGCTCTAAGTTAGCAGCGACTCGTTCCTTGGGGGTACTGGCGGAGGACTCTGGGAGGCCCTGAATTATGATGCAGTGATCCTTGTTAAGCATTCCTCTGTGTTCTGCGGTTTGGACGTCGTTGACTGGTCCTTTGCCCGCGTCGAAGTGAACTGGCGAAAAGGAAGGGGCCGTCATATTGGTATTTATGTCTCCGTGAAGTTCGTCCGCGGATCTTGTTGAGGCATCGTGAATAGTTGCACGATGTGGTTGATCGGCACTGCCTCCCATCAGAGGGCTCTGAAGAGAGCTTGACCCCCATGAATTAGAAGCTTCTTCGGCTCGGTTCTCAACTCTGTTGGCATGGGAATTCGCGGTGGCAGCTAATTCCAGCGTGGGTCCATAACCATATGTCATTGCGCTAATTGATAAGCCCTCTAAGTTAGGCTCCGGAAATGAGCACATTGTCTGGGGATTTCTACGGTTGGGCGTCAACTGCTCCTTTCCTTTGACTTCTTCTGCTGGCACATTTACGGTCG